CGCTGTAGCAACGTCTGCCATTAGGAATCTGGAATTTTACAGAGCTGCTGAAAATATTGCCAGAATAATAATTAATAGTTTCAGTATCACCAAGAGGCTGTTTAAAAACACTAATAAAATAATCATTGATTGCTTCTTTGCCTTTGAAGTGTTCAGGTAACGTTTCATCGTATTTTGGAATAATCAATTTTCCAAAAAATTGCTTGTTTTTTCTGTCGATACATAGGCTTCTTCTTAGTGCAGATAAAGCAATATCTCTCAATTCTTTGAAGAAGTTATATATTTTTTCAGTTCGATGTCGTTAAACTCCACTAAAGGAGCGGAACGTAAATTCATAATTATTTTAACTATATCTGTATGCCAAAGACAATGCAGTTTGCTCACTCTGATTGTTTTTACAGGAGCATGCTTATTAAAAAGTAAATTGACTTTACGTAGTTTCTCACCTAAAGCATACTGCTAGACAAGGCTTTTTCATTAATTTCTTTCATACGACGCTGCACACCACATTTTTTCCAAAAATGTAGTAAATTGAGGTTTTTGGGTTTGCTGCCATTAAGACTCAAAAATTGCATTTTTTCGTTTTTTCGTTCACATGTATAAAAAACTCCATTTTTATGAAAAATAAGGCAATCAACTTGAAGGATATTCAAAAATCTTGAGCTAGCCTTCGTTCATTGTTGCTTGTGTTGAAAGTTAGGCACTGCGTAAAGTCTCTCAAAGAGAGATACGTGCATATTCGAACCTTCCACAGCAATTTAATGAAAATAACATTGCAATAATACCTTGTTTCAACTTAAATCTGACTTTTTGTTTATGTAGTCACCCTAATCTCGTTCCTTAACCGTTATTACTTATGACGAAGTTTTAACAAAAAAAAACAAACAACTCTCCAGCATGGAGATGAAACATATTTTAGCAAATCGCCAAAAAACACTGGCTATTCGGATCGACTAGCAAGTGAAACAAAGTATGTAATGCTATTGGTTTAAAAGGTGAAAATGAGGGGACAAGACGAATGGGACAAGATTTAACGGTACTAAATTGTATTTTTTGACATGTAATACAATAATTTCGTAAAACAGCTCTTTCTTTATGGTCTAGTACTTAGAAAAAAAGCATTGTAGCTTAGTTGTTATACAGGGCCATGCTTTAAAAAAAAATGCAGATGTTAAAAAATCACAAATCTGCGAAAGCTATTGCATGCGACAATATGAAATTTCTAACCAAATTTAAACAGTAAAAATGCTACCTGGCTTTATATTTGAGATGCCATTTCGAATTAAATTGCATTTTAACATTGTCGCTTTTTCTGATCTACAAGATAGCGTGTTTAAATTTTCAATTCGAGGTATCTTATTTCGACTTCCATCACCAATTTTGTGTCTTCATATGGACGCTATATACATTCTAATATAGCGTATAAATAAATGTATTATATTCATAACTAAATGCAGAATCAGAAATTGTGTGCGATTAGAAGAAGTAAAACAAAGTTGAGGATTGAGATCGAAAGCAGAAACGTCTAATTGCTAGTTTGACTACGCCCTTTTTTTATATCGAAGCAGCCGCGCAGGCAGAAGCCTAAATGCCGGAATACCGCGGCTGCCATGATGATCTCAAAGAAATTTTGTTTTAGAGCAGAAAAAGTGGCATACGCAATCTATTTCTAAATCCCATTTCAATTAAAACCAAGAAATAAACAACGATTTTTCAATAAATCTGGTATACGAAAAATATGTTTCCTTGTGAGAATCATAACATATACACATTCCTCATAATATTTGGTCTACGCCTTGTTTACTAACCAAAAATTCTTCAGTATGATCCACTGTTACTGTAGAAAATCTTGAACGCACGTCGCTGTGTTTCGAAATTAATTAAAATAATTTAATCATTTGGGGAATCCTGGAGGCTTGTATCTCGGATGCGGCTGAATGCAAAGCTCGAAAGGGAAAAAATACGCGATTCCATGTACCGGTTGAGTGATTGCTGACAGCTGACAACGACCGTTGCTCACTAAAGACTAATTACTTTGGAAGATGCACGGGCTGCATCCAGACAAGTTTCATTCAATTTTTTCCCTTTTCGAGGGAGGTATGCATCAGCACATATTATTCGAGGTGGAGAGGGGAGGAGCAAAAACACAATAATTACTGATTCGGTAATGGAAAGTACGAGTAGACGACGACAACAAGTTGGTACATGCACAAAAACTCTGGAGTTGGTTGACTTAAGTCATGGATGGAACGCAAGAACTAAGACCGACGATTTGATATTACACACATGCTGCATCTTGCATGATGATTCATGTGAGTGCAAGTAAAGTCAATTTTATGTGCTTCATTAAGCAGTACCATATTTTTTCAGACTTATCGAGTCAGACAGTTGTTTAAAGCATTTTAAAAGTTACCCTCCATACCTCCACAAATATCCTAAATTTTAATCAAGCCAATTACAAAATTTAAGTAACTCTGTGACAGCTAACAAGTTTAATTAGTTCAATTAAACTACGATTTCTAAAACAGTTTACTTAAATCTATAGAATTAATTGAATCAAAACGTAGCCGTTTAAGTTCTTTAACCGTTTACTTGAATTAGGTACACATATTCATTTAAAATTAATGAACTACTGAAATGAGTTTACTTAGTCCAAGTAAAGCAATTTAATTATCTTCATTTAATCTGTCTAATTAGTGTAGGTAATAGTGTCTACCTAGATGAAACCAGCTACAGATACAGGGTGCTTCATGGGGAGTGAGAAATATTCTAACCATTTTTATGGATCACTAAGCACCTTATGCTTGATTGTTTCACTTGATCACCATAATTGATTCACTTCTCAGCTGCTATACACCAACAACGGTAACATTCGGATACGAAGCTCGTCACGAAAATCACAAATTAAAGCTGAGTAGTTCGAAGTGCTTCACTGGTACCCCGCCTGTTGCATACGATCATTTACGAATGAAGGGCCTAGCCCTGCCGAGTACGCGATTCAAATAAATAGTTTATCTGTATTTATTAAAATGCTCAATTGTTTCAAATGTACCTTTTCTAAATAAATTAATTTACCTGATCTAATCAAACAGTTTGATACAGGTACATGGTTTGCTAATTCCAAACAAATTAGTTTAATAGTATACTGCTCTCAATTAAACTGGTCCCAGAAATTTCAGTTTTATTAAATTCTAGTTACTTAGAATAATTAAAACATTCATTACAGGTAATGAAAATCTTCCAGAAAGAAAATGTTTAATTGATCGAACGTGTGGAATGAGAAATTATGTACTATTTCACACCATAAAAACCGTACGTCCTTCAGAGTATACGTGTATCCATTACCATGAGAAACCATGTGCTCAAATTTTATTCCGACAAAATATCAATAGTTTGGATTCAAATAGCCAAAAACACTTTTTTTTTTCGTTCAAGCGGTTAAGGGCTTCCGTCAGATATAAGGAAAAAACATCTCTATCATCACAGTTTGACTTGAAATGTGTGGTATCCGGAATAAAACAAAATACTTGCCTAAATCCTACGGCGAAAAATCGAGAACAACATTGAGGAAAATATTAACGATATTCGAAGTTACAAAAAGGACTCGGCAATCTGGAACCTGGAGCTGACATCAAAGTCTTTGCATTTTTAATATTTGTAACACGACTGCTATATTCTCCAATGCTAAAGTTCTGCCAATTTTGGGCAGTTTTTGATAACCAAATAAACTGAATAAACAATAAACCATCGGTAAAATAAATAAACAATGACAACCCGGACTATTTCAGTGTGAGGATTATTAGCCGTGATTAAAAGATAATTTTCCGTTAATGCCGGATATAACATTTCCACCGATGAGGTTAGTTTTTTAATCACTTGCTCTTTTGTGGTTTCCTATAATTTTTCTGGAAGTAGAAAGTAAAATACCGTATTATATCATCACGGGCACTATACGTGTATAACATATCCTAGTACTTGTGTCTTACTCCTTATAGTTTGAATGCGGAATAGAAATAAAATTAGTGTGAAATAATTACTTTTATCATGATCACTGTATGACTGCTATTTAGCAATTTACTGTATTTTAAAACGAAATGCTTTTATTAAACAGCCTATCCAATTGAATAAAGTGTTACATACAATATTTAGTTACGACTTGATAACTAACTTAATTACAAAAGTTTCGTAATAAATATTAATAAAAATTCTAATTGTACATCAAGCGGTAGAAAACGGTTATGTTAAATTACTGGTATTTATTAGTGAACAAAATCGTACGTACAGAATAGAAAGAGTGGTTTGTTGTAAATTAAAATTTTAAAAGCTGGCAATCATTTTATAGAGCAACGTTCAATATACAGATGTATGATGTGAACGGCTCATTAAGTTTTTTTTTCTGTTTTCAGGATATTAACATTTTGCTGTTAACGATTGCTGTAAACGTTGTAATGAAGTAATTAAGGTGGAACATATAATTTCAGTGGGTTTCACAACATCAAAAACTTTGGTTGTAATTACGTATCAATGATATGAGGAACATGTGTGTTACCTACCTAAATGACCGTTTCAATTTTTTCTAATAATCGTCGCAATTAAAAAATCACAAACCCCATATCTTGAACCAGAGTATACAGAAAATTGTCACTAATTCCAATAAAACATCAGCTCCCATAAGGAGATACAGGCTTTAAGTTACGATTTTACTAAAATCCGGCGAGCACAATTTATACCTATGGCACGAAGTAGACAAATGGAAAGTAATGGATCTGGAAACTAAGTAGAGAAAAATCATACGATTCTTGTAAAATGGGTCCCTAATTCTCACATCAAATTAGGAAATACTATATATATCACCTGGCTTAGCTACAAAAACCTAAGCGAGGACGGCGGGTACCAGTGTGAAGGTATTCACAAATACACCAGCTGACTACCGTCAGCTAGTCGCACTGCTTGAATCCATCAAGCGGCCCTTCTTCACATATCAACTGAAGGAGGACAGGATGGACCAGAGGGTCATTCGTGGGCTTCCGAGAGAGATGGCAGTCAATGACATCAAAGAGGATCTGGTGAGCCAAGGCATCGCAGACGCCGTGGTTCAGCAGCTGACCTCAAGGACCACAAAGAAGCCACTTCCGCTCTTCCTCGTCAAGACGAAGATGCCGGAAAAGCTTGCAGAGATCCAGAGGCTGGCCATGCTCACGGTCAGCTTCGAGAGGAAGAAAAAGTCTTCCGAGCCCAGCCAGTGCTACCGCTGCCAGCGGTACGGGCACACACAGCGGAACTGCCGTCTCGCTGAACGGTGCGTTAAGTGTGGAGAGGACCACAACAGCACCAGCTGCAGTCTGCCAGCGCCGCCAACAGGGCAACGAAACGCCAAGTGTTGCCTCTGTGGAGAAGGCCACCCCGCCAACTACAAGGGATGTAGTAAGGCCCCGAAAAAAGCTGCTTCTGCCCCCAAAGCAGTCCCCACCACAAATAGGACTTCTTACGCTCAAAAAGTGAAGAAACCTATGTCAACTTCTGCCCCAGCAGCCGCCACTGCTACTGGAACTACTGCGCAGAAGCAACACGGCGATGACAGACTGCTAGCAATGATGCAAGCCATCATAACCCGCCTGGATGCACTCGAGGCCAAGATGCAAGACAAGCACTAGACCCGAAATGTCTACAGGTCAAAACGTAGAATCTCTACGCATTATCTCTTGGAACATCAACGGATTCAGGGCACGGAAACCAGAAATCCAGGAGATACTAGACCAGTACCAACCAGAGGTGATGGCCATCCAAGAAACGAAGTTGGATGCTGCCCATAGTCTGACGTTCCCGCGGTACGAGACGTACCGCTACGACAGAAGGGGCAGAGGTGGAGGAGTCGCATTACTCGTCAAACGTACCTTGACGAGTCATGTCCTCGACGATGCCGCAGACATAAATGGGGACGGAATCACGGTCCAGGTCCATCACAACCACCGTCCCTACAGAATCACCTCCCTATATGTGCCACCAGGGGAGGCCCTAGACGAAGATGACATCGCTGACCTCCTGAGAGGCCCAGGAGCACGCATAGTCATCGGAGATCTAAACTGCAAGTCTCCGGCATGGAACAACAACGTCGAAGACAGGAATGCAAGGCAGCTCCAGGAACACGTCGATGCCCTGGCGGGGGTCATCGTCGGTCCGGAGCAACCAACCTACATTCCATTCGGCCTTGGGCGACCTGCGGTACTGGACATAGCCATCCTCCGCAACATCAGAGAGGAGTTCGAGATAGAGACCCTGGTGGAAGGATCGTCGGACCACAATCCGATTCTACTAACACTTGGTACAGGGTCTAGAACTCGAGATAGCTTGAGCACCAAACGGACGAACTGGAACCTGTACAAATCCAACGTCCAAAGGAACATCACTCAAATTCCAACCATCCGATCAGCGGAGGAACTGGACAACGCAGTAGAGGAGCTGGAGAATGCTGTCCTGCGAGCGCACGAGGACAGCACCCGCTCCGAGACTACGGCAGTTCCTAGACACCTAAATGGTCCAGCACCGCACCATATTAGGCACCTGATCAGGGAGAACAGGAGACTCAAGCGAGAACATCTCCAACTGTTGACAGAGGAGTCGAGAGTTGCGCGAAACAGAGCATCGTTAGCTCTGAAGAACGCACTCGCGGAACTCCAAAACAGCAGATGGAATGCAGCCTGTGCAGAACTAGAGACCCAGGATGGTACGGCCTGGTCTATGCAGCGAAAATTTCGTCGTCAGCGCACCACGATCCCCACTCTTCACGGCCAACGTGGCTTGGCCTACTCCAGTGAAGAAAAAGCCGAAGCATTCGCCGATTCGCTAGAATCCGAATGCAGACTCAACTACCATGAAGACGAGGACGACAACCACGAGGAGGCCGTGGAAGTCGCAGCCGAAAACATGAGGAGCCGACCACCTGGCCAGGAGACGGATCACCCCTCCAGTCCAGAGGAAATCCGTCTGATCATCCGCAGGTTGAAGGTCAGAAAGGCGCCGGGAAGGGACGGCATCAACAACAGGATGCTGAAGAACCTTCCCACCAAAGGCATTGCTGCGCTCACCAACATCGCCAATGCCACCCTGAGACTTAACCACTTCCCGCGGCGGTGGCGGGAAGCCCAGGTTATAATGCTCACCAAGCCAGGCAAGGACCGGAAGTTGCCCCAGAACTACCGGCCCATCAGCCTGGTTTCCTCGATGGGCAAAGTAGTCGAAAAGGCTATCGCCGTTCGACTAGAGAAGCAGGCAGAAGAACTGCAACTTCTCCCCCCAGAGCAATTCGGCTTCAGATCCTCCCACAACACGGAACTCCAAGCGCTACGACTGACGGAAAACATCACCAGCGGCTTCAATCTCCAGGAGGCAACCGGTCTCGTCCTGCTGGACGTGGAACGAGCCTTCGATCGAGTTTGGCACGATGGACTCATCGCCAAAATGGAAGCCGCCGGAATCGATGCGAGCATGTGCCAACTGATCCAGAGCTATCTAACACAAAGATGGTTCACGGTGAAGATTGGTACATGCCACTCAACAAGACGACAGCTGGAAGCAGGCGTGCCCCAGGGGTCAGCCTTAGCCCCCCTGCTCTACAACATCTATACACACGATGTGCCGAAGACAGCTGACACAATGCTGGCCCTATATGCAGACGATACTGCTATAGCCGCCAAGCATAGACGGCCCGAGATCATCCGTAGGAGACTACAGGATGAACTGGACCACATCCAGGACTGGTGCGTGAAATGGAAAATCCGCATCAACGTCCAGAAGTCGCAGGCAATCTTCATTCAACGAAGAAGGATTGCAAGACCTCTCGAAGCATCCATCTTCGATGAAGATATCCAGTGGAGCGACAATGTCAAATATCTGGGGATCGTTTTTGACAAGTCCCTCACCTGGAAAGCGCACATAGAAGCTGTCATCGCAAAAACCAGAGCAGCCATGGCTCAACTCTACCCATTACTGGGTAGACACAGCCAGATGCCGCTAGCGACCAAGCTACGGCTGATCAAGGCCATCGCCAGACCTCAGCTCGCTTACGCCTCCGCGGTCTGGGGGTACGCTGCCCCCAGCTACCGCAAGCGACTTGCTGCTCTAGAGATGAAGCTACTCCGGATCGCCACCAATGCACCTTCCTACGTAAGGAACTCAACCTTGCGTAGAGACCTGCATTGGGATACCATCCACGAGTACATGAGGAAAAAAGCGGAGAAGACCTTCGAGAAAGCTCAGGACCACCCGAACGAGCAGCTACGATTCCTCATGGACTACGATCCGGACGAGAGGCCTCGCAACCGCAGAACCAGGTACCCCAGACCAAGGTCCCAGTTGGCACCCGCTAACTGGAACCTTGACTAGGAGACCAGGGGAACTTGCGGCTGCCCCCCCCCCCCCACCCCACGGCGTGGATGCAGAGGACCAGGAACCACCGGGACCAGGACCCACCGGGGCCAGGACCAACCAGGACCAGGACCCGCCACGACCAGGACCCACCAGGACCAGGACCCTTCAGGACCAGGACCAGGAACAACATATTGGTAAGAGGACTTGAAACTCTTGATTTTTCGAAAACAAGAGTTTCAAGAGAAACTAGCAGACCCTCTATCGATGATCGCTTAACGACATCGATAGAATGTGCGAGGTAAAGGGAACCAACCCGGCGTTCCCAGAGACTGAAACACATGAGGAGACGTTGTAGCAGACCGCAGGTCACGCACAACACATGGCCTACCGAGACGCTGATGAGTCGGGCCACGCGGAGGTTTAGGGTTTAGTGGGTATTAGGTGATCTCTTCAAGACCCTGGAGCCCCACACACGTCGTAGCTCGTGCTATGGTATGGTGCGTAAATGCATTCCCCCCTCGTTAAAAAAAAAAAAAAAAAAAAAAAACAAAAACCTGTTTTTTCATTTGAGCCCGGGTACACAATTTGCAACACAGAAGCAAATTTGACCAATAAAAAAGGATCTGCGTATAGCTGACTACTCAAAAAAAAGGATTTGTGACCTTCTCGAAACGTCGATCAAACCTAATACATATTGATATGTCAGCTTACTCAGCATTTTATTGAAATTAACAGTATTACCTCTTACCTGAGATAATTTAAAAAAAGGATGCATTTTTAAAATACAGTCAACATGTTCATTGAGGTCAGACACAAAAAAAAATTTTTTTCTGTTTATATGTGTGTATCAGACCAGTCAAACTAGATGTTTGATTTTTATCCTTGCTGTAGAAAATTCTGCATTCTATGAAGACATAAATAAAATTACAGAATGCTTATCAAACTATCTCCTAAACACCTGAACTTTCGGGCTATTTAACTTGACCTCAAGTTTGTTCAATACAGGTTACCAAATCATAGGGATTCCAACCCACGTCATACAATATCTTTCAAATCTCCTATTAATCCATATATTAACACATTGTTCAGTGTTCCAAGACAAATGAGAAAACATGACCGTTGGCTTTTTGCGTAACAACAGTAGCAGTGGCCCCATAAAAAAAGGCATCCAGGGAATTCAATTATTGAAATGGCCAAGGCAATAATATCAGCATAGCAAGTAGCTCTAGTTTCAGCGATGTTGACAGTTGTCCCAAGAATACCTACAAAGTAAAATCGCAGTATTACGTTATTTCCCATCATTTTGTTTGGATTCTGTCAAAATTACTATGTTAAACATAGAAAAAGTATGTAGCTTTTTTATTTGAATAATGATCTACTGACAACAGAGTCTTATCCTTGGTTCAGTGCTCAGTAGGCTCGAGACGGATTTTGATGTAGTTTGGGAGTGGCGGTGCTGCCATATTTTTCAAAATCGGCGCTGGAGCTGTCAGCAATGAAAAAATAATTTAAATATTTGTATTTTTTAAGCCTGCTGTATGTTACTGGGATGTAGAATCTAAACATAAGATTAGAAACAATGCCTCAAATATTTCTAATGTCACCGTTGGAATTTCCACCAACCCGTTGTAGTATATCCGCCGCACGCCAAGTGCTGAGAACATGGGTTGCGCGGAGGTATGCACGTACCTTTTCTGCTAACTTTACTGAATTTACTGCTGTTACCGGGCGGTCGCACGGCGGTCAAAACTCGAACCGTGTAGTGGTGAAGATAGTAATCAATCAGTTGGCCTGATTTAAACTTACTAGCATAGGAAGTAAAATGGAGTAAAACTGATTGTCACGTTGCCATTTTTATTTTTTTATACCTTTTTCCAGATCCAAAACATAGAAAGTAGATGTAAAACAGTAAATTTGAATTTTCAAATTTCA